AGATAAGGAGTCCTTTTTGACATTTTAAATCATTATCTCCATGAGATCTTTTTTTGTTGTTGTTGTTGTTTGTTTGTTTCTAATATTTAATTCAGTATTTTATTTCTTTGGGCCAATTTCACTTTTGATATTCCAATGATGTATATTGTATACCTTCCAATACCGTTTCACTGCTTTGGAGTATCATCTTTTGTATTTCTCTAATTTTTATTGATTCTTTTTCATTTATTTTGAACAGGAAGTTTATATCAACTTATACTGAAGATTACTGGTTTTTCCCTTGTTTCTATACTGTGTAGTAATGGCCTTATCAAGTATATTCATTGCGCTGTAGCACTGTCCTCCCACTGTTCATTGATTTTTCTGGAGCGGGCCCACTAACATCTCCGTTGTGAGACTCGTTGTTACTGTGTTTGGCATATGGAATACATCACGAGAAGCTTGCCAGGCTTTGCAGTGCGGGAGGGATACTCTCGGTAGCTTGCTGAGCTCTCCAAGAGGGGCGGAGAAATCAAACCAGGGTCAGCCAGGTTGGCTGCATGCAAGGCAAACACCCTACCTCCTGTGCTATTGCTTGCTTCTTTACAATGTTTTAGAATCCTGGCATGTATTTTAGAATATTTCTTAGAATTGATCTCTCTTTTTGTACATATGTTTTTAAATACTGCTTGCCATTTTGTTGATAGCCCTTACTACATTTATTACTTTTGTTTTAAATTCTCTGTGCTGATTATTGTAATGTTTCTGTCATATCTGAAGGGTTATAATGCTAACTTTGCTTCTTAAAGCTTTTATATTTTCTTATATTTTAGTGTGCCTTATACCATTTTTTAATTAAGAAGTTAATACATAATGGACTAAATTACAGAGGTAAACAGACCTTTAATAACAAGCTTTGTAGTAATTTGGAATTTTATTAATGTAGTTGCTAGTTATTAAAAATAATCTACTTTCTTTTTTTTTGTCTACATTTGTGTTTTGGGGTTTCCCTAAGAATTCTTTCTTAAATAGAGTCGTATTTTTTTTCATCTATAATGTAGTTATTGTAGTGAAACACTGTTGGAATAATAGTAATAGAACTAAGGGCCTATGAACTCATTATGTGTTTTAATCTTTTAGAGCTATCCTGTGTTCCGGGGATCTGAACCTCCAAATGTTTTTCTGGTTTTTCCCCTTATGTCTTAAGCATAAAAATTGAATCTAGGAAAAGTTTATGTCTCTGATGATAGAATGTTCAGTAAACTCTTTTTCACTGATAAGGCTGTTATAATGAAGAATACTCTATGCATTTAATATGGTTCTTTCCCCTTTCCTTGTCATAGACATAAGATAATTTTTCTTGGTTTTCTTGTGATGAAGATTTTATGTCATTCCTAATATCAAACCCATGAAACTGTAAGATGGCAGCCTTCAAATAATTTTTATTCTCACTCTAGTCCATACAAAGATTCCAATGACAATAGAAATGTTCGTTTTAGCATTCCTATCCAGTTGTGACTTGAACAGATTTTCTTATAGGTATGCTTTTCCTAGTTATGGTTCTCTACATTCATTTATATGTTCAGAATTATCACTTGACCCTCAATTTTCACTATATGTAGCTATAAGAATAATAATTGACATGCATCTATCTTATTGTGTTATTGGATAAGAATGACAGTCCCCAAGCTCTTTATCTGCCAAAAGAAAACACTAGAAGCTCTAAAAAATAAGTTCAGCCAGTATGTGTGGAATATTAGTTTGAAAGATTGCCAAATTAATAGTTATTTTAGTGTTCTCTCAAGTGTCAACCAACTCTGAATTAAAGAGCAGCAATTTAAAACTGAATCTTAGGGGAAAGGCAACCACTGAGATGAAGACTGTTATCACTAAGACTGTGAGAGAAAGAGGTAAAAAACAGTACTCTTTAGAAACAAGTGTTTGTTAATGGACCAACATCACTCATTTGAAAGCAAATTGATAATAGAAGAACAATTAAATCATTTAAATGAAAAAAAATGAATTCAGTATCTATTATAAATACTATGAACAGCAGAGCTGGAGTTTGGCTCTATTCAAAATATTTACTGGGAATTTTGCATGTGATCATTAATTCTCAGGTCAAAAGTGTTATTCAAATCAGAGGGGCAGCTCTAGGGATCCAGAATCTGTTCGTTTAAATATTTTACATGTATTGTTAAATATATACTTACATTAATGGATTGTTATCTTTTAGTGATTCAGCAATTGTTAAGAAAATTTGTTCCAGAGCCATTTTGTCACTATCACTCCTGAACATTCTATGCAAGAGCTAAACCTTGCTTCTTTATTTTGTGCAGATATTCCTTTGCTATCTCATTTGCTCCTGTAGTTGTTCCTACTAGGTCAGAGTTTGTCTTCTAAATCAATTTATGAACTGTTCAGTTTTGGGGAAGGTGAAAAACTATATTTTTCACAATACCTGGAAGTAGATATTCAGGATGTCGATTCTATTTCAGGAAAACACCCGTTTAATGAACTTCTTTCCATGAATGGTTTATAATAAAAATGTTAGTGATTAAGAAGTGCAACAAAGTTACTTTCATTGTGTTTTTGGTCTTTATTATTCTGAGTTGTTGAGTATAGCTATCTCTCCTAATTTTATTCATATCTTTGTTTCATGTTATTTTTTTTCCAGCTTCTGTAAGCCCATTTTGTAGAATTCAGAATCTGATTCAAGGCATGGTCATTACTGCCACTATGTGGTGTATTTTGGAAGTACTGAAAAAGAAAATGTTAGGTATCTGAAGTGACTGCAAAACTGATATTTTCCTTAAGCATAATAGCCCATATTCACTAAAATACTCAACCCCTTCCACCAAGAATTATACTTTATTAGTAGTTAATAGTCTTTTTTACTTTACAACAAAAAATAACCCTATAAGAATATACTGAACAAAATGTTTATATTCCATGGCCCTTTTAACATGATAAAATTATTTAAAATTATTTTGAAAGAGTTATGGAAATTTTAAAAAAGACAAGTAAAGTCACAGAAGAAATAGGGAAAAACTAAGAGAGGATGACTCACAAATACACACAATTTTAATATGTGATTCATGAAGCAGCATAAGCGAACAAAAATAAGTATCTTCAACATTCTACTTTTTTATGGGGAGAGAATCACTCAATTAGTGTTTAGAGGGCTCAGAGGCCATTTCCAGCAATACCTACTCAGCTCTGTGGACCTGACAGTTTCATGCTTGGGAATGGCAATGCAGCTCTCCTGGGACCCAGTTGTGCTGGGGGCCATTAGGGACAGCTCAACATTGCTCTGACCATAGTGTGCTAGAAGTCAAAACCAGGGTCTTGTGCAGTCAGGCATTTGATCCAGCCCTTTAAGATAGTCCCAGTCCTTATATTTTAGTTTTATTTGCATTCTGTGTAGTTACAAGTGACATACACATAAATACACTAACATACATATATAAATATATGTGGACATATTTATATGTATGTTTGTGTATATGTAAGTATATATTACATGTGTACAAATATAAATATATGTATGTAAAAGTGTCCGTAAACATGCAATATGCATATCTATTTATCTATTTATTGCATTCTCCTTATTTACATAAGTAGGTTTATATTATAGGAACTTTTTGTATCTTAATCTTATTCTCTTCAATGTCTATGTATTATTCGTTTATATTATTTTCAGTTATTTTTATTTTTTGTTCATTTTGTTATGCTGACATAGTCTAAACATTATTAAAGTTTTTAGATTTTCAATTATACTAACAATAGAGAATCCTAGAACTCCATTATTCCTAATACTGAAACACCATTATGTTTTTTTTTTCTTTTTTGACTTTTTGGGTCACACCCGCAATGCACAGGGGTTACTCCTGGCTTTGCACTCAGGAATTACTCCTGGCGCTGCTCAGGGGACCATATGGAATGCTGGAAATCAAACCCAAGTCAGACACGTAGAAGGCAAATGCCCTATCCGCTGTACTATAGCTCCAGCTCCATAACCATTATGTTTAATGTTTTAGAATATACTAAATATTTGTCCAACAACAAATTATCACCAACTTCATTTTTCCTAAATATTTGTCTATATTGGATTTTTTAATAGTTAATATTTCTATTATGATTTTCATCCCATTACCATGAGTACAGTTATATACATGGTTATGAATTTTGCATGTCAATATTCTGTAAAATTCTTGTTCAGGCATTAGATATGAATATTAAAGATTCTGAGTCTTTTGAATCTGGTTCCATATTAGAAATGTAAGACTGTAGGAGTGTTTGCATATGGAGTTTCAAGAAGAGAAATACACTATTCCTTACCAATTTTTCATATATCCAAACTTGACACCTTACTGGCTGGTTGAAATACCATGTCATTTCTCTTGAGGCAAAATTTGTATTAATGTATTATCTCAAAGTTTTCTTTTGGTTTCTATGTCATCTCATAAATCAGAGTCAAAAATAAGATGAGGGGTAATGATTATAAGAAAAATTAATAAATAGGTTTTATTATATGTGGCAATTGCGTAGTATTAGGATAAAATCAGAAAGCAGTGCAGTGTTGGGGGAAGATATGAATAAATTCTTTCCACAATTCTGATAATATCGAGGTTCATTCATTCAGTAATTATATAATCCCTATTATTGCTAGTATAATTAAATATTTCAATTTTTATATGCATTGAATAGAACACTCTGTGAGTGTTCTTTAGCTATGAGGCTCAGTGTTCTATGAAAGTAGTCTGAAATGAGAAGACAAACTCAGGATTCTAAAGTGAAGTAAGTACCCATTGGAATGGACCTTATCTAACCACAGAAGTTTAAGCAGGAGGCAGATTCACTGTATAAGAAATGGGATACAAATGCTATTGATTTTGTTCTCTTGATCAAGTTCCCAGTGAAAAAGTGACTAGCAAATTCTAGTAAATTTTTGATACTGGTACAGTCCTCATATCATAACATATCCTCCAGCTCAATTCTTTGCGTGTAATTTCCCACAGTATTCAAAGGCGGAAAGGCATCCTGTGACTGCATTGGAGAAAATGATGGAGTCAAGTTTTGCTGGCCCCCAGTCATTCCCAGAGATCCCTACTCCTGACAGAGGAAGCCAATCTGTCAAACACCACAGGTACAGGTAGCTCAGCATGGTGGGAGGGTTGTGTTCACAGTATGTACAATGCTGGACAATGCATCTCAGGGAATGACAACATTCTTAGGAGAAATGATTGTTCTTGCTTTTCTTATAATGCTCCACGGAGAAGATGCACAAGCAGATACTAGCAAGAAAATCAAAGATATCAGCAGGTAGCAGTGCTCCTCCAAGAAGCCCAAAGGAACTATTAACAACACCCACAAAGCTGCAGACACACCCCAGTGTCTGAAGCAATTGCATTCTGTAAAAAAACGATTAAAACCATGGTATTTCCTAGTCTGCCTAATATCTGCCTGCAAAGTTAATGACTAACTCTTCCCTAGGCAGCTGAGATGACACGCTCCATCTCTTCCAACATGGCTCTCACACAAAGAAACTTTGCAAGGGAAGAAGCCTGACAAACGTCCTTGGGTCTGTGAGATCTTCTATAATCAATGAGGTGGTGCTCTTTGTAGAAGCTGGTGATAGAAATTGACTCTTTCAGGGGAAAAGTGAAAATTAAAGTTATAAATGTCATGACATTCAGAGTCTGAACAGATTTTTTTATATTAGTTTGCAGGCTGTGTTTTAGACATTAGGAATCTGGAACTTTAGATGTTTCAGGTCTTGTGAAGCAAATGGCAGATTTTGCATGGTTATGTCAATCCAAATGTATAACTCCAAATTTCATGGAATTTGTTCAGCAATTTGAACTTCGTTTTCTTAGAAATACAGGATAAAAAAATCAAGTTGTAAAAGTTTTAATTACTTTGATTTTTTTTTAAAAAAAAGGTGGAAATAAATTATTCTTAGCATGAAAGATAAATGGTGAACCTTGGTTTAGTCTACATGGGCCACACGTTGAAAGTCACCAAGATAGAAACATATACTCCAGGAGTCAGAGCAGTATGGTGGGTAGGGAGCTTGCCTTACATGTGGTGGAACCAGGTTAGGTCCCAGGCATCCATATGGTCCGCTATGCACTACCAGGAGTAATACCTGAGTGCAGAGCCAGAAGTAACCTCTGAACATCCCTGGTTGTGGCCACCAAAGCAAAAAATAAGCAAGCAAACAAACAAAACCAAACATACACTACAATAAAAAATTTCTCTCTCTCAGTGAGTCCCCTAAAATAGTTTTTTTTTTTTTTAATACTGGACACAATGCAGAGTACTAACACAACGGTAGGTCTTTTGCCTTGCACGCAGCCGGCCCAAAAGATTCCTCCACCCCACTCGGATAGCCCGGAAAGCTATTGAGAATATCTCACCCCCATGGCAAAGCCTGGCAAGCTACCCGTGATGTATTCAATATGTGAAACATAGTAACGAGTCTCATGTTGGAGGCATTACTAGGCCCGCTCGTTTGAACAAATCGATGAACAACGGGAACACTGTGCTACCATGCTTCAAATACTGGACACATTTTTCTGTGAAATTTTAAGTTGCTTAGTGATAATCTATTCTCATTATACCTGAGACAAGATGGATACCAAGGATTTGCCAAGTTTTACAATTTTTTATTATTTATTTATTTATTTATTTATTGCTTTTTGGGTCACATCCAGCAATGCTCAGGGTTTACTCCTAGCTTTACACTCAGGAATTACTCCTGGAGGTGCTTGGGGGACCAAATGGGATGCTGGTGATCGAACCCAGTTCAGCTGCGTGCAAGGCAAATGTCCTACCTGCTTTACTATCGCTCCAGTCCCCTTACAAAAATTTAAGTGTTTTCAAATCAGGATATAAATATGGTCAATTATTGCATAATAGTTTGAAATATAGGTAGAAGCTTTGGCTAATGTAAGTTGAGAAATTTATAGGTATTTTTCTGCAAAAATAGTATTTTAGTTTTTTATCTAACGGGAGAAATCTATGATAAAGGAAATAAGTATAAAATTAACAATCTTTTGGAAGATGGTTATTTTCTCTAAAATACCATTTTCCTCTGCTTATTATAACACAGGTTAAAGTGGTACTCTAGACCAGTAAAATAATTCAATATAATATTATATTTTACACTATAATCATTTTAAAGTTGGGATAAAAAAGAATTATAGACTAATGCATTTGAATTATAAAATCCCACCCCTCCTCTTATCTGTTCATATAACCCTCCTAAATGTGGCTTCTAACATGCTTTTTAGGAATCACTCACAGGTTAAATAAGGGCCCATTTAAAAGACCTTCCTTTTTATTTGGTTCAATGACTTTGCAATATCTGTTGACTTGCACTTTGTACTGATAAATAGTCAAGGGTTGATTTATAAAGTGCTTTTGGAACTTTGTGAATTATTGTTTAATATAACATAGTTTTTGTTTTGTAAAACATGCAGTTGACTTAAACATTTTCATGATTGATAACCTGGTCACTGATTTATAAGTCTCCCAAATCGCTCCATAACTTCTTGAATGCCACTGGATTAGAAAGCTTGAGTATTTTATTGATCAATGGATACATAACTTTTTAAAAAAAGACGGGTCACTAGTTCATAGTAGCAGTCTTTGTCTTTGTGACAGTTTGGCTAGCTCTGAATGATTATTTGTGGTGTTCAGCTAATATGGTGCATTTGAATCATTTATTTATGAAACAAAGCTATTAATTCAAAGCAGTAAGTTCTTACTTTAAAAAACATCTATTAGGTCACGTAACACAGCATTTTACTTTCTCAATATAATTCTTCAATATTGCACATATGGGGGTGGGTGTTGATGTTTGATTTTTCATTCAATAGCAATAAAAGTCCAGGGATTTGGGTGATAACTGTGGTCATATAAGTTATGTGTTGTGGTAGAAGAACCAGGAAACTCATTGTGTGAAGCATTTATCACTTGCTTGGGTCCATGCTAGAAACTTGTATGCTTTGTTTCTTTTAATTCCCAGAGTAAATCTATTGCTATAGATTTAGTCAGTAATTCACTCAGCATGATGATGTGTGATGATGATACTTTTCTTTTCTTTTCTCTTTTTTTTTTTTGGTCGTTTTGGTTTGAGGGCCACACCCAACTTATGCTCAGGGTTTACTCCTGGCTCTGTACTTAGGAGTCTCTTCTGGTGGGGAGTCAGGGTATCATATTTTGTGCTGGGGATCAATCCTGGGTAAGCCACTTCCCACAGTAATATTGTTCCAATCTGATACCTTTCTTTTGCCTCTCACCCTTCCAGATTGAATTGTTGCATTTCTTCTGCCTTGCCCTGTGGATTGAGAACAACAAGCTTCACCTTCCTCGATTTCTGTAGTTCAGCGGGAGGCATTGGCCAATAAATAGAGAGGAAGGAAGGATATGAGGTCCTTTGATACTTCTCTCCTCTCCCTGTCTGCTTAGTTGCTTGGCTATACCCCTCTTTTTAGGGCCACAATGTTCCTGTTGACAGCACCTTCTCTGTCCTAGTAACTGCTTTTTCCCACTTTCTCTTCAGATTCAGGGGTGTAGCAGCTTTTATTCCTTTCTACCCTTTACTTATGATGATGCCTTAAGTTTTAAGTCCACCTGTAACATTGACAACCTCTAAATAGTAGGATCTTTCAATTTAAAATCATCTACTTCCCTCTAGTATCCTGACTAAGGAAGCACATCTCCACTTACATTGCTGCCAATAACATGCAGCACCAAATAGCACACTGAGTGCATCTATGGCCAGTTTCTGAGCCTGTGTGCCCCTGAACTGCAAAATTGCTACTGAGTGGTATGCATTGAAACTAGAAAATGCAAAGAAACTTGCATAATAGAGCGTTCAGGAACATGATTTTATAGGTGAAATTCCTTTGGGGATCTGATTGCTTTACCTCTTAGCAGGTTTACTGAAATTTTGTACATTTGTTTTTCATCTTTCTTTATGTGGCCTTACCAATATTTTCAGAGTTGAATGAGAAAGAAGCACAAAATTCTAAGGAACTTATTTCATGAAAGCTGCAGAATCTTCTTAGCTACAGAAAGCTTCAATCATCTCTTGGAATATCTATGTAGGAACAAAACTCTCCTCAACAGTGTACATGGGGGTAGGTGAATTCAGTGAGATGAAGATAGGGGTTAATATAGAATAACTAATAAATCAAATTACCAATTACTTTTAATCAAGTCTAGTTATTTTTGAAATTCATATATGTAAAGGTACAACATAAAGAATATCCCACTTGTTCCTTATGACATTTAATGTAATTTTTAGCACATCACTATTTCAATGTATGGGATCAAATGAACTATATAATCAGTTTCTTTTTTTTAAATGTAGGGGTACTGTTATTTATTCAGCCATTGTATAATCAGATTCTTATTATAAGAAAACACAAATAAAGTTTAGTTTTTAAAAAATTATGAACATCTTGGAGGGGTCACCTGAGTATTTTAGATATTTTCTAAAGATATACTGACAATTACATAAGATTTGTTCATTTTACTCTAATGTGTAATATTTTGCCTGTGAATCCCATGAAGGCTTGTTTTTTTTTCTTTTTCTTCTTTTCAATTTCTATGAACACGGCCTTTTTATTTCTACTTGAGAGACAATGACTGTAATATGAATGATGAGGGTTTCAGGAACATGATAATGCCTTAAACAAGTCACTTTGCTCAGAAAGCTGCAATTGTTGTAGTTCCAAATAGGAAATTTAGTTTGGAAATTTAAGAAAACATCGAATCTTTTCTTTATCTTAGTTTCTCCAAGACTAAAATAGACTTGACGTCTTCTGAATACTTCCTAGCAGGATGGAAGAATTCTGGGATGCAAATGCTGTGACTGTGATGTTAAGGAACCATCCTTGAGGTTATTGCAATGAACATTTTTAGGTGATGATTAAACAATGATCAATATTGATTTTATTTCACCCAGCAGGAGTCTGACCTCTTGCTGCAGCCCAGGACAAAGGAGCGGTATGCTCCACAGAAACACTTTCAGAAGGACTCCCCCCTCACCCCGAAGTAGGCTGAGTGGAATTGTGGGACCAGCATATCAACAACTTGAGGAATCAAGGATCCCAGACCAGGATACAATACCTCGTCAAGGGTAGGTCTTAAAAGTAATGAACTTAAGGATGGTATAAATGCTTTAGCTTCATATTGATTCATGTGTTCCTTTGGGTTTTATTCACTGATTTCATCATTGGCTATTTATGCTCACTTCCATCTCTATTTCACAATCAACTAGTTTAAAAGAGCCAATGCAGTGGAAACAGATAGTAGGGAAATGTTAGCTGTGAATGTTAGCGATAAAGAATAGGTACATTGGAAGTAGATATTGGGGAAGTGTTCTTACATATAAAAAAAAGTATGTATCTAGGAACTATGTTATTATATAGTTGCTGAAGCAATTGTGGATTATTTTAATTATTGATTTAAAAAATTCAATTTCTTTGGAGAACTCATTTTGTTTCTTCAATAGGTTTAAAAATTTCCTAATTTGCTAGTCAGTATTGTGGGTAATACGCTAATGAGTAATTGTTGTATATGTCATATCTGCTTCAGTTGAACAGTCACAAACAGGTCTCATCTAATGTTGACAACATTTGATCAAACTTTTACTTGCTGATCTCATAAATTAGGTTCATTTTTGGTGCAGGGATAGAAAAGACAATATCAGCCACATATTTTTGCAGAATGAAAAGTGTTCCTTCCTCTGAGTTTGCACAGACCCATCCCAGGCACATGTCATACCATGTAAAAGATAAATGTATCCTGTATTTATTTAACTTAAACTAGTCAGCCAAACATGACACACCTTATTTAATAAAAAAGACTGGAATTCAAATTTCATCTTTGCTTCTTATTGTTTGTGTGAATTTGAGAATTTTTTCAAATCTGACTTTGAATTGATCTCATCCATAATTTGAACAAAATTAATAACAGCTTTCCCGAGGATTCTTCGGCAGATTAAGAAAAGAAAATTACAACTGTAACAAACTTATCTAAAACACAGTAAGCAAAACAGTAGTATAATATTTATTATTACAGGAACTATTGTAGTATTACCAATATCTTCAACAGCAATGTAATCAGGGTTTACTCTAGGAATCTCAGTCAAGTCAGAATGCTGTTGCATCTAGTGCTTATATCTCTGGATGAGTCAGCCAAGTTTATATTGCATTTACCTAGATGGCTTTGGTCTATACTATATAAAAATAAAGGCACAGGCAGGAGATCTATCACATAATCTTACCTTTCTATTATCACACACATATATACAGATATATGTATGTATACATATATATGTAAATAAGTGCCCTGTCAGAGAAAGTTAAGAAATACCACCCCCCCACCCCACCCCACCATTGGCTAGATTTTGTGATGTTGAATCAATTTCAAATGGACTGTAAAATGTATTGGTACAGATCTGGAGTAACCGTTGCAATTCAACATAACAGTTAGATTGTCCAAAATGTGCAGTACAAGTCAAGAGGCCGTTTATATTTCTCTTTGCTTCATAGCTGGTGAAAAGATTCTAATTTAGCTTATGCTTGATAATATTTTATAATTATCAGTCCATATGAAAATAAAGTAAAGTAAAGGCCCTCCCGTTGATCATCGATTTGCTCAAGCGGGTCCAGTAACGTCTCCATTGGAGACTTTGTTGTTACTGTGTCTGGCATATCAAATACTCTCAGTAGCTTGCCGGGCTCTCCGAGAGGGGCGGAGGAATCGAACTCGGGTCAGCCATGTTGGCTGCGTGCAAGGTAGACGCCCTACCCGCTGTGCTATTGCTCCAGCCCAATAATAATATCTATATTTGTGAATTTATTCTTTGGTTAAATATATGTTAAAATGGAAGAAGTGTGGTTTGGAACAGTAGTACAATTGGTGGGGCACTTTCTTTGTACACAGCTAGTGTAGGTTCAGTCACAGACACCCTATTTGTCTTCTGAGCCCTTCCAGATTTGTTTCCTGAGCATAAAGCAATAATTAAATCTTGAGAACCACTGAGTGAGCCCCAAAACAACAAAAAAGTTGTTTCTGAGAATGAACAAGACAAAATTGAATTAAAATACCTGGTAAGGATTGGGACCAGAGTATGTAGATACTTGCCTTGCATAGAGCCAACCGGGGTTTTATCTCCAGTAGCTCATATGGTCTTTCCATCCCTGCTAGGAGAGCTAGGAGTGATCCCTGAGACAGATGCAAACCCTGAGCAATACTACACATGACTCCTAAACAAACAAAATGCCCAGGAATATGGTGAAAATAGTGAAAATAGACATTTCTTTGAAAAAAATCTTGTGAGAAGAAGGAGAGAATCTAGCAAAACTGTCTCTATTTCTATTGACACTATTGTCACTATAATTCCTTGTCACCCAAGTGGAAGAGTTCTTGGGGTCTGTGCCAGGTTTAGGCTTGATTAAACCATATATCTATCTGATTCTTTAGAAACTCATACTCCCATCGCATGTCAGGCACTGTATATCTTTTACCTCGAAGGAGATGCACTATTGACTATGTGATAGTGGTTTCATTTTGGTTCAATCATCATTGGGTTTGGTATATTCTCTCCAGATGGCTGACCAATAAAATGTTTTCAGTGTGTGGTATGAACCCAAAGTTGATAAATGGTGATTCTAAGTCTAAGTCACTATGTGCTCTGCAAATGAATATCAAGGAGCAATCTCATTCTCAGCTCTTTAAAACAGCTATTTTCTACTCCTGGGAGACAGACTGTCTCTCTGGACAGGAAATAAGAATGGTAATAGAATTTCACAGCTAAAGGCCCTCTTCAAATCTGGCCCTACCCTGGAGGTGAAGTGCATGAATTTACAAGGATCATCAGACACCTGCTCTTTGTTTATTAAGGGTATGTGGGTCTCTTCTGGAAGATTCATTCTGGTATATGTTCCTTCTCTCCTTTGGCTGTAACGTCAGCCCATTTAGAACCCAGCATTTACAACATTGAAGCCTGAAGAAGGGAACTTTATTTCTGATTGGTAGATCACAGTAGCTCAAAAAGCATTGAATTGGGTTGTATTGGATGTTTGGAGCTAATATATTTGTATGCTAGAACAAAGATGGAACCTTAAGTGATGATTCTTCCTTCTATCTTTAATGTGGAAGGGGTCTAAATTATGCTAAATAAAAATAAATAAATAAATAAAAATTTTAAAATATGCTAAGTACCTTTATCACTTAGCTAACCACTTTACATCACTTGAAGTATTTGATACAACTTTATAGAGAAACACACTAAAAGTAGTGGTTTCAGTAGTATAGATTCAATACTAGTCTTTCTGACTAAATAGGCAACTAAATTAGGAGGAATATGAACACAATCACATTTATGGATGCTGATTTATAAATTGAATCTGTAATTGTTTGGCTCCAGAGGGAAAAGTGAATTCTTGCAACTTAGTTCATTCATTTTAAGGTCTTCCTCACTGAGCCTTGAATTGTCCTAGGGAAAAACACCCCCTTCACCTAATACTTGTACTATTTACAACTAATATAAATAAATTGTTGTATTCAACTTTTAAACGACCTTTGGCTCATTTATATTAAAGGGAGCGCCTCTGTAAATTCTTTGATGAGTATTCAGAGTGCAGAAAATCCAAACTGGTATGCTATAATCAATGAATAACAGATTCTGTATCAACTTTTTGAAGTAGTCCTCACTCTTCAAATGATACAGAACTTTAAATATCTTTTAATTATAAATAGTATCTAGAACTTTAGCTCTCCTTTAAAATTTTCGAAGAACAATATTTAGCCTCTACTCCAATATCACTGCTGGGACCCTTGCAGCAACTCTAAAAAGGAATAATTATTTATTATGCAAGATTTCATTGCAGTTATTCTTAACATGTATAAGTTTTATTTCATTTGCATTATAATGTAAGACAAGAGGGATTCATTATATTACACAAAGGGTAGATACATTTAGTTGTTTTAAATTTTAATATTTTATTTAACATTTAAATTAAAGATAAATAACTTGACAATAAAAAGTTCCCAAGCCACGTTTCTACAAATCTACAATATATCTGCCCCATTTTGTTGTCACTGCAGGAATGCTGGAAAATTTATTTTCTGAGAATAGGAAATAATGGGGCTAACTGGGTTCTGGCATATTCAAATGATTTGAAATGGTGCATTAATATTCTTAATAAGCCTTGTCAAGCACAAACAGACTACCTTACATGGCTCCAGAAGTCATGTAAGGAAAATTACTAGACTGGCAGTAGGCCTATGAAACCTACTTTGTGGTAATTTCTGTGTCTCCTATCTCCATCCTTAGGCTCAAAATCTGAGAAGGAGGCAATTCATACATAATAGAGCACCAATAAATTTGAATTTTATTCCCTTAAAGCCAGTGTGAAGCAGAAAAAAAATGGTAGACTCCTGATTGCCTCTAACTAGGGTGACCACAAAAAGTCTATCTGATAGAACCAAGGCTGAGAGGGTGGTCACTTTGATGGAGTGGAGTAATGCCATTATGGGTTTCCTGTTTGTCACTATGGAAAGGCCACACTTACCTGCTCAATCCCCATTTACTTTGTATTCTAGGATAGAGGTCAGGAAGACTATATCTCACCTGCCTATACAGCTGTGGTGTGTTGAAAGATCCCTGGACTTAAAGTAAGAAGACCTGGGTTTGAGTCTCAGTCTGTCACTTATTTTCTGTGTGACCTTGGGCAAGTCACTTCACCTATCTGAGCTTCAGTTAACTTATCTGTTTAAATGGGAACATATCCGTCTCATGGGGTTGCTGTGAGAATTCAGTGAGATGGTGCATGTGAGAAGTGCTTTGTGGACTGAATATTGATCGGAAGAAGCACAGCAGAAAACGGACTGTGTGAACACTCTCTTTCTTTTTCAGGTATGCATCCAATGGTTTAAAATCCCAACAAAATGCATCAATAAATATGCAACTGCCTTCAAGAGAGACAAACTCTTATTATAATAGCTTGGATCAAAAGGACCTGGTGAGATATTCATCCACAAGGGCCAGTTCTGTGCCCATCATCCCTTCAGTGGGTCTAGAGGAAACCTGCATGCAAATGCCAGGGATTTCTGAAGTCAAAAGCATCAAATGGTGCAAAAACTCCTACTCTGCTGATATTGTCAATGTGAGTATTCCAGTCAGCGATTGTCTTATAGCAGAACAACAGGAAGTGAAAATATTGCTAGAAACTGTCCAGGAGCAGATCCGAATTCTGACTGATGCCAGACGGTCAGAAGACTACGAACTGGCCAGCGTAGAAACCGAGGACAGTGCGAGTGAAAACACAGCCTTTCTCCCCCTGAGTCCCACGGCCAAATCAGAACGAGAGGCACAATTTGTCTTAAGAAATGAAATACAAAGAGACTCCGCATTGACCAAGTGACTTGAAATGTAGGAATCTGTGCATTTTATGCTTTGCTCAACAGGAAAGAGAGGAAATTAAATACAAATTATTTATATGCATTAATTTAAGAGCATCTACTTAGAAGAAACCAAATAGTCTATCGCCCTCATATCATAGTGTTTTTTAACAAAATATTTTTTTAAAGGGAAAGAAATGTTTCCGGAGGGATAAAGCTTACGACTAAAGCTTTTGGGTAGAGTTCTGAATACAATTTCAATTAATTCCAACACGGTCCTTTTTGGCTCTTCAAAGATGTGGGTAATTCAGACCCGCAGACCCACAGCACGCATCCTTATTTTGAAAAGAAAAGTTATAAAGAAACACTGCTGTTACCCAGTTTCTAAGAGACAAGCTGTAATCTGAGGGTGAACGTGCCAGTGAGCAGACAGCTCTGGTCGTTTGGCTTGTCAATCCCAACTCCTAAATTTCTATTCACTCAACAGCCTCATTAGAAGGTTGTGTCATGTCAACAAATGTAGTGTTTTCTCTTTAGTTTTTAAAGGATGGCACAAAGACTCTGCGAAGAAGAGAAGGATAGGAGCTAGAGGAAGTAATGGGTAATCTTAGCTACTTTATTGTGCCATCTTCCTCTGAAATTTGAAGGCACAGAATCCAGAGGGAGGTTTGAAATTACTATCGAAAAAAGACAAGAAATCACAATGTTGTGTCATTAGAATCTTGCTAATAGAAATGTTTTCTTTGAGATTGTTTAGGGGCTCTGAAAGAGCATTCCTCAGTGGGTGTGTGACTGTCGTGTGCCTGTGCAAGTGTGGGTGTGTGAGTGTGTGTGTGTGTGTGTGTGTGTGTGTGTGTATGTATGGGCTTGCTCACTAGAGCACTGCTATTGCTGTATGCATATTTGTTTCTTATGAGTATGTGTGTGCATGTGTGTGTGTATTTAGCTTGCTAAAATTTGTTCTAAAACATCAGGGAATCTAATATTCAGAAAAAAATTTCCCTCTTAGATCTGTTCACTTTAAATTTTTGCGTTAAGTGTAAAGTTCAGTTAGTAAGTTCTAAAATCAAATCACTTGCATGGTGGGGTTCTATGAAACTCTTGACAAAGTCTAGACCATTTTCTGATGTGAATATTTTTAAGAGGAACAACTATTGGCCCATTAATGATATTAGTATTACATGGCAAGTTGAGGATGTGTGTTTATTTCGACTCATGCAAACTTAAATTAATTTTACGAGGCAGTTCTCAAATTGACAGTTACCATTTGCTTTCTCTTCATCCTCATTATTCTTTCTTTCATAGCAAGTCTACCAAGTGTGGACCAAAACATTGGCTTCTGAGGTTAATATGAAAATCATAAATTGTTGAAATCACAAAGCCCAGACCATTCAGTTCACAGGAAGCCCCTAAAAGAACAATAAATTGTGTTGTATGTTCATTTGGAATAAAGCAATATTTTTACCACTGCTAAGGTGAACTGAAACTACTCCTGAATATTTGTCTGCTTTATTTACCCTTATTTTCATGGGACATTCAAGAAATTAGTGTACACATAGCCAGTCTTTTTCCAATTATTGGTGGTGTTGAGTTGTTATGTTTACACTGTTTTAAATAAAAAGGCACAGTATTTGAAAGTATCAAAAGATTTCTTTTACTGCAGTTTGACAAAAACTTGGTTAAAATTTTCTCTTGGAAAAGTCATATTTTTACTGAGAGGGAATATAATTGTTTCTGATTCAACATTTCCTATTTGAGTTAAATTGTTTCTATTGAAAAATCATTGAAAATCACATTGAAAATCACTCTTTAAGACCATTTATATTAATAGACATAATACCATATAGGGAGAAAAAGAACACTGAGTTTTATCATCACTGTTCAGTGGAAGTATGGGATCTCAAGGGATAAAAACAGTTTGGTAGATACTCATTTTATATTAAACAAAACATTTCTGGTATTAATTAGTTGTTTTATAATAGTTCTGTTATTTTTAATATTGTTAGAATCTTAAAGGTCATTTTAATTTTAATTGTCTAGGTTATTTTAATTTACAGGTATATGAAAGTCACATAAATTACATATCTGTTGTTATTGTATGATAATTTATCACAGTTATTGAACATTAACTGGAAAAATGACAATTTTGTTCAAGTAATTCTCTTTTTTGGACTATTTATTTAACATGTTATTCATTGTTTTATCTAAAAGATTCATTCAGAATTTACCTAACTAGAAAGTTATATATTCTGTGATTCATTACTGTTTGATTTTCACATTATTTACTCTAAACAATCAAAGACTGTCAATCTAATTTAAGTCTTGTTCCAATTATTTATTTTTTAAAGTAGGGTCATAAATACATAAATACCACTGTATCCTGAAGAGCATGAACGTTGGATAAATCCGAAGGAGGTCAGATACTGAGTTTAGAGATTTTGATATTTTCTAGTTGATAGTCAAGAAAAAAATCTTTTATTGATCATTGTATCCTCTGTGAAAAAAGTTCAAGCTCAAATGAACATATTTGGACATCAGTTTACAAAACTTGATAGCAGAACTTTCCAAGTTGACTTAACATACAAATCCCTAGAGCCATCTATATCTCATCCCCCAAGCTGATTTGTCTGTAGAAAAGAGCTTATTCCTACAAAACAACTTTGATTTTGCTCCATATCACTTGTCTTTATTATTTGAACATTTGGATATGTATAATTAAGTTACATATCCATATATGAGTTATATAACAGTATATATTTTATAAGGTATATTTTTTCATAAAGCACATGTTATTCTAATTTGTCACTGACTGCTATGAAACCGTTTTAAAAACATTCTATTTTAATTTAACTCTTGAGAAATGATACAATGATGGAGTGTTGGCATTCAGATTTTCTTCCTGATTTTCCTATGCACATTAAGTGCTCTGTTTTGTGCTCTAATCTACCTTTCTCTGTGCTAAGGACTAAGTATTTGTAAATTTATCACATCTTCAATGAATTACATTGACTCCTAGTAGCAATAGCAAGCTTTTCTGGAAGAGGAGCAATGCTATTTTTAGGATCTAATAGTGTCATCTTAATAACATGTCGGATCTACCAAAATGAAAACAGAAGGACCAAGCTGACTTGGCCGAGAAAATGCCCACATGCATTGGGAGAAAAAGAAAGCTTCAAATCTTAGTGGCACTTCTGGTGACCCTGGCTAAGGCTGTCCATACCCAAGTATTCATCAGAATACGTTGGATGTATTCAACAGTCATTCACACCTGTCCCACAGTTTGGTGCTATCTGAAACCATGACTCCCTCAGTGGGAGGTTTGGTGTTCCTTTTGATACCAGCCCCAGAAACCAGAAATTGCTCCCTGAGACAAGTGCTGTGAAACAATTCCCAAAAGAGGATCTAGTAAACCTAGCAACACAGTAGGAGGGATGGGATTTTTATTTGATCTTTTGGTATCCAGAAATATTTTATATATAAAGAAAACTTTTTTATTCTTCAATTGTATATATTCAGTAGAGTGTATTCAACAACAGCACATCTATGCTGTTTTGTACTTCAGTCTTTAGAAATTCAGTCTTCATCCAGCAAAGACCAGCATAATGTTTCTGGGCTACTCTCAGTTTTAAATGCATCTCAATGTGTCATGGGAAATGAGGCCTTTAAACAAGCTTTATCTCTTCCTCGTGTAGTCTTTCTTCCCTTTAAAGAAATAAAGAGGGCAAAGGAAGAAATTCATTTCTTAAGAGTCACATGATTCTCTTCTAATAACCTTATTTCTTACTGTGACTTGACATATACACATATACATATATAAACACGTGTATACATAAAATATATGTATATATTAAATTTGGGTTTTTGATTATTTGCACAGTTTTATTTTTGCTTAATTTAATAAATAGTAATGTGATTGCCTCATGGAATGTCAATGAATGAAATAATTTAGAGATCAACAATCTTGGCAATGTACAGATAACCCAGACATTTTTGGTTCTTTGTCTTTAATAAATAAACAGAAATATGATCATGCTGGAAAATTCACAAAAATCTGGAATAAAATCTCTGCTAAACTCTCTATTAGAAGTGAAGACTAAGCTATGGGTGTATTATAATGGTCTATAACATACTTTTTTACAAATTAAAACATAATTTTTCCCAAAGGTGCCTAAACAGGTGTCTTTGTCTTCTAGTTCACTCTGAGCTCTAGTGAGTAGTCAAAATAAAGGTAATGAGATAATTACAGGGCAGAGATTACAGGTTGATGTTCATACCTAGAAGGATGTAAAGATCATAACAGAGGTGGCCAGATGCAATCTTGATAAAATATAAAGCAGGCTCCTAGTACTTTGCTGACGCATTTTCATAAATACCTGTATTGATTGCATGTGTATTATTGCCTGTGACAGAGTTAATTGTGCGGTAGCAGTCTCTTATTGTTGGAAATGAATTAGAAAATATTTATATTGAAAGTCGTCTTTGTGAAAGTTTCTATTTTATCTATATGTAATGATAGCTCCATCTCTCAAATAAGAATTATCTAGTTCATCTTTAATTTCCCTTCCATGCTGAGTACCTCACCACACATCCATTCTAACTAAAACCTTACCTGTTCATTTGTCATGCAGTCTTTTTCAACACAATCCTCTGAAAATTCAGACTATAAGTCTATGTCAATAAGAAAAAAATTGTTGGTATGTAAATATTAATCTGTTATTCAGGCTTATATTGCAATATGGTCCTTTTAATTTCCACGGGAAAATAGGATCATGTTTATAGTTATCTAAAAAGTTTCATAGGTGAGGTAATATAGAGGAAGGGATTATTGTAATGTGCCTAATTTTAAAGCATAGGCATCAAAATTTTCTCCCATGCCTTATTTTTAAAAGGGGCATTTAAGACAGGTGAACCTTGGGGTTATCACTGGCATAGTTTAAGATTCTTCACAGCTAAATGAAGAAGTAAGATCATATCTTTCAGGGAGGCAGTCAGCAAACTGGCTGCACAAGACATAACTGAAACTCTTCATTTATTTTTATCACAAACTCCTTAACAGAAAATCTCTTATCAGTAGTGTATACATTTTCTGGAGATGCTTTCATACTATAGCTGGGAGTAATACTGTTTTGGTAGGGCACAATAAACCAAATATTGCAGAGCTTACTTACGTATTTAATTTTAGTTGTAATTGCTTTTTAAACAAATCAATATTTATTTGCTCTTGCAATAGCATCCTGACTAGCGCAAAGTGTTTCATATATAATTTATCTTCATCAAAATCCCAAAGTTTGAATTCCTTAGCTTTAAACAGAACAACGCAGAATGTTCACACATGTGAATCAAACACAGAAGATTTCTAAGTTGT